GTATCGCATGTTCCTGTTCTGAATACTGTAGGCACTTATAGCACAGTGGTATTTGTGTATCTAAACACATAAACATAGAAAAGAAGCAGTAAAAATATGGTAGTATAAGCTGGGCGTGGTGGCTCATGCCTGTAATCCCAGCACTTTGGGAGGCTGAGGCAGGTGGATTACTTGAGGTCGGGAGTTCGAGACCAGCCTGACTAACATGGAGAAACCCCGTCTCTACTAAAAAATATAAAATTAGCCTGGCGTGGTGGCACATGCCTCTAATCCTAGCTACTCGGGAGGCTGAGGCAGGAGTATCACTTGAACCTGGGAGGCAGGGGTTGTGGTAAACTGAGATTGCACCATTGCACTCTAGCCTGGGCAACAAGAGTGAAACTCTGTCTCAAAAAAAAAAAAAAATATATATATATATATATATATGGGACTGTCATAGAATATGCTGCTGCTTGTTGACTGAAATGTTGTTATTCAGCATGACTCTATATTATTTCCCTCTTTATTTTTCACAAAAGTTAGTATACTGTAATACTATTCTGTATTTTGTTATTTCCCTTAGCAGTCTTGGAAATATATATATATATATATTTTTCTTTTTGAGACAGAGTCTCACTCTGTCTTCCAAACTGGCGTGCAGTGGCACAATCTCAGCTCACCGCAACCTCCACCTCCTGGGTTCAAGTGATTCTCCTGCATAGCTGGGATTACAGACACATGCCACCATGCCTGGCTACTTTTTGGATTTTTTTTAGTAGAGACAGGGTTTCACAACATTGGCCAGGCTGGTCTCGAACTCTTGATCTCAGGTGATCCACCCACCTTGGCCTCCCAGAGTGCTGGGATTACAGGCATGAGGCACCATGCCGGCCTTTTTGTTTTTTTTTTTCTCTGTTTGAGACATAGTCTCACTCTGTCTCCCAGGCTGGAGTACAGTGGCACGATCTCAGCTCACTGCAACCTTTGCCTCCCAGGTTCAAGTGATTCTCCTGCATCAGCCTCCCAGGTAGCTGGAATTACAGGTGCCCACCACCATGCCCAGCTACTTTTTGTATTTTTAGTAGAGATGGGGTTTCACCATGTTGGTCAGGCTGGTCTTGAACTCTTGACCTCAAGTGATCTGCTTACGCTGGCCTCCCAAAGTGCTGGGATTGCAGGCATGAGCCACTGCACCTGGCCAGAAATATTTCTGAGCATATAGATAATTTTCTTATTTTTACAGGTGCCTAGTATTATATTGTAAGGATATATCCCAATTTATGAAACCTGTCTCCTATTGATGGATATTTTACTATTATTTTTTGAGACAAGGTCTTGCTGTCACTCAGGCTGAGTGCAGTGGCAGCTCACTGCAGACTTGACCTCTTGGGCTCAAGCCATCCTCCTGTCTCAGCCTCCCAAGTAGTTGGGACTACAGGTATATGCCACCAAGCCTGGCTAATTTTTTTTTTTTTTTTTAATTTTAAATTTTAAATTTTTGTTTTTGGTAGAGACAAAGTCTTGGTATATTGCCCAGGCTGGTCATGAACTCCTAGATGCAAGCAATCCTCCCACCCTGGCCTCCCAAAGTGTATTTTTTTTAATAGTTTCTTTATTCTCAAATGGTAGTGACTGTTTTGATATTGGTGGGAATTTTAATATAAATTTCTTTTATGACACCAAAAGTGATGAAACTGTTTTCTGTTTGGGATGGCTGATGGTCATGACCCCTACTGGTTTCAAGAACTGTCCCTGACCAATACTAACTTTCGTATTTTCTTCCTACTTTCTCCTCCCTTTTACTCTTCTTCCTCTCTTCTCTCGCTCCATTTTCTTTGTTATTGCTAAATATGGGGAGCTAAGGGTTGTTTAGCATTTAGATTCAAAATGACAAATGTGCTTTACAGTGGTATTTCTCAAATTTTAATGTGCAAACTAATCACCAGGCGATCTTGTTAAAATGCAGATTTGGTTCTGGAATGGGGCCTGAGATTCTACATTTCACAGAAGCTCCTATGTGATTCAGAGGCTGTTGATCCATGGGCCACACTGTAAGAGGCAGTGTCCTCTTACAGTAGGGTTACAGGAACTGTTTATCTTTAGCACTTTCTTGTAAGCTTGCTCCAACTCTCCAAAGAAAGAACAAGCAGTTTAGCCCTCTTTTCTCTCTCTTTTTTTTTTGAGACGGAGTCTTGCTCTATTGCCAGGCTGGAGTGCAGTGGTGCGATCTCAGCTCACTGCAGCCTCTGCCTCCCGGGTTCGAGCTATTCTTCTGCCTCAGCCTCCCAAGTAGCTAGGACTACAGGCACACACCACTACGCCCAGCTAATTTTTGTATATTTAGTAGAGATAGGGTTTCACCATGTTGGCCAGGATGGTCTCAATCTCTTGACCTCGTGATCTGCCTGCCTCGGCATCCCAAAGTGCTGGGATTACAGGCGTGAGCCAACGCGCCTGGCCTAGCCCTCTCTTCTCTACCCCACCCCAAGTAATTCTCTTTGGCTTGGCCTTGAGAAGGGAGGGGCGTTCCCCTTGTCTTATCACAGAAAAGTACATCTTAGGTGTTGCATTCTGGAGTCAGTTTTGCTATTTACATCGCTGCTTCACAGATTCTTAACAAATCAGTTAATTTGCATTCGACTTTTGTTCAAACCAAAGGAGAGGAGGAAAAAGGTTTAAAAACACAAAAGCTGAGAAAGTTGACAGCTATTTAGTTGCGTCTCCTCGAACAGAATTTATTGAATTAGGGGAAGTTTGTCCTTGATTTGTATTTCCTTTATAGTTATCAGTTGTACATTTTGGCCAAACACCCAACTGCTCACATTTCTTGTGTGTATGATTTACTCTAATTTTGCTTTGAGGAAATGATCAATCAGAAAACAGAGGGATGTAGGCCGGGTGCGGTGGCTCATGCCTGTAATTCCAGCACTTTGGGAGGCCGAGGCGGGCATATCACCTGAGGTCGGGAGTTTGAGACCACCTGGCCAACATAGTGAAACCCCCCATCTCTACCAAAAATACATAAATTAGGTGGGTGTGGTGGCACACACCTGTAATACCAGCTACTTAGGAAGCTGAGGCGGGAGAATCCCTTGAACCCAGGAGGCGGAGGTTGCAGTGAGCCGAGATCGCACCACTGCACTCCAGCCTGGGCAACAGAGACTCCATACAAACAAACAAACAAAAAAACAGAGGAATGTATACCAGTGAGTTGAGATACATCTTTTTGGAAAGAACATCATCTTTAATGAATTCTGTAAGAATTGGTTCAGCAATTAACATGGGGAAGTTCATACAGGTGAGATCTTTTAAAAAGTTTTTTAAAGAAAAGCAAAAAAGCAAGAATACTGGTGAAGATCCTTGGTTTCTAACAATGTCAATCTATTACACAGCAATTGAGCCACCTGGAGAATATGAAAATTCAAATTTCCACCCTCATCTGCCTTCTGAAGACTGGGGATACACAGCGGCCACCTTTATCTTTCTAGGCTATCTGGATGACTAGAACACAGTAATGGTGCTAGGACAATTGACACCACTGCTGTCACCCTCACCCACAGTATAAAGTTACCTGTGATCTCTTTTCTGAAAATCTAAGCTGTCTACAGGCTGGGGTTAAAGCACTTAGAGAAGTTTTATATTCTTCAGAGAACTGTTTTCAGCAATTCCCTACCAGTTATACCTTTAAGAAAAAGGTTAAATGGATGTATATGATTTTATTTTGTTGTTAAGCATTTAGTTTTGGAACTGGAAGTAGTCTTGAAAAGAGAACTAGTACCCTGCCCTTGCAGGGCAAAAGAATTGGTAGTTGCTACTTTTCTACTGACCAGCAGCATATATTATAGGAATGTGACATTTTTGGAAACAGAGTCTTGCTCTGTTGCCCAGGCTGGAGTGCAGTGGCGTGACCTCGGCTCGCTGTAACCTCCACCTCCCCAGCTCAAGCAGTTCTCATGCCTCAGCCTCCCTAGTAGCTGAGACTACAGATGTGCGTCACCATGCCTGGCTAATTTTTGTATTTTTAGTAGAGATGGGGTTTTGCCACATGGGCCAGTCTGGTCTCAAACTCCTGGCCTCAAATGACCCACCCATCTTGGCCTCCCACAATGCTGGGGTAGCAGGTGTGAGCCACCACACCGGGCCGGAAGGGGACTTTACACGTCAGTAGCCTCAGAGCACATCTACTGCCAGGACTTCCTCTGAGTTTAGATTACAGGTTCTGGAAGCCTTAAAAACATTCTCTTTCACTTGCACACCTAGGTGCAAGTTTAAGGTTACTTGCGTAACCTTAAAAGTTGCCTCCACCAAGCCCAACTTTTTTTTTTTTGAGATGGAGTCTCGCTCTGTCACCCAGGCTGGAGTACAATGGCATGATCTTGGCTCACGGCAACCTCCGCTTCCTGGGTTCAAGCAATTCTCCTGCCTCAACCTCTGGAGGAGCTGGGATTAGAGGTACCTGCCACCACGCCCGGCTAATTGTTGTATTTTTAGTAGAGATGAGGTTTCACCATGTTGGCCAGGCTGGTCTCGAACTCCTGACCTCATGATCTGCCCACCTTGGCCTCCCAAAGTGCTAGGATTACAGGTGTGAGCCACCGTGCCCGGCCTAGCCCAGCTTTTTCTTTATCTCAGTTCTACATACTACCGTTAGCATTAGTGATTTGGGCACTGACTGCTTCTAGTGGATGTGTGGGATGGTCTTGCTTATATTAAGTTCAGAGTCTCATTATTCTCAGGTTTCTAGGATGTAGTATAGTGTAGTAGGAAGTTTATAAACTTCAGAGCTTATGGGTCAAATCCCACTTATGGCACTTACTTGCATACACTGTGGACACATTGCTTAGCACGAGTTCAACTTCCCCATGTAGAGTAAGACCTACTTTATAAGGTAGCTGTGAGGACCACTGTAACATCTGTAAAACACACAGTACAGTGCTCCAAAAGACAGTAGCTATTAATATGGTATGTTAGCAATAGAGCTCCATATTCTTTTGTGGATGAAATACAAAGAAAACAAGTAGCACTGGTAACAACACATTTATTTACGTACCCTGTTGTGTGACCGGGAGGTGTTTTTCACTTTCCAATAATTGATTCAGTTATAACAATTAAAATTCCAGAAGGTAAACTAGTAATTTATTGTTGCTCATAAGCATAGGTAAACAGACATGGTACCACAATAAAGGAATCTTAAACACTTCTAACCTTTTGGAATAGGTTTGAATATGGACCAATATACTTTGCCAATGGACCTAACAGATTGCCAATGTATTTCTAAAATGTCATAGTTCTCTTCAGACACAACAGAAGAAATCTGGATCTAATTTTTAAACCTCAGAAATTTAACCAAGATGATTAGGAAGATGCAAAAGGCCGGCAGTACTTAAGCCTGTCATATTTATCACCAATATAACTGTATTGCTATTAAAAGTAAAATCATGGTAGGGAGCAGCCAACTAATTGCTAGTCTCAGTTCATAGATTTAGTATTTTTTGAAAATAATTCACCTCAGATGGCAGGCTATACAAATTTAAAGTAGTCGTAACTTAACCTTTTGTGTACTAGTTAAAGCAATTCAGATAGATCCCAAGTCAAAGAACTGAATGGTGTTATCAAATTGGGTTTCATATCAGAAATCAGCCATTTCCAAACAACTGCATCATATAGGACGTTTTCTTTCAGACTGCCTTTTATTCCTGGCTTCAAATCTTACTCACAGTATATGTTTTTAGAGAGTTTGGTAAGTGTAACAAATGGGTACTCATTGGTAGAGCAGGATATAAGAATGTGCTGATCACCAAGTATGAGATTTACATTACATTAAATTAAAATTATATAATGTTGGAAATAGACAATATAGGGAGTTCCCAGATCCTAGAAATTATTATGGCTAAGGAAACAGAGAACTCAAGAAAGGAATCTACCTCCAAGAAACTAATTCAGTATAATAAAATAGAATTAAGTGCCCTGTCTTAGGAAAAATTTATTAAGAATAAGGAACAACTGGGACATCATACATCGTTTCTTTGGAGATTAAAGTGCAGGCTATGAAATGGCATATAAAATAATGCATAAAATAGTGCAATCTTAAGGTGCCATTATTTTTATTACACATAGCCTAGTTTTATGTCCATTTTCTCTCAAAAAATCCAGCTGTAGTGACACCTTTTAGCTTATTAATTTAGGCATTACTTACACTGTTTTACCCACCTTTGGGGCTACATAGAATATTTTAACATTTTTAACACGTAGAATAATTGCGCATACATCTTGAAACTACTAAATAGAGATTAAGGCAAGCCCCTGTAAAGTTCAGTACTCCAAAAAACGTGTTTTACAAAAAAATTGCTTCCCAAATCAGTGGCTTTTGACTGGATGATACCCCAATAGTCTTTAAAACTAAGTATAATGACTCTCAATACATTTGCATTTGCTCCATTATTTTCAGGCTCTGTACAGGAGTTTGAAAAACAACAGGTTCTATAACCTCAGAATCTGTGAAAACCAGGTAAGCCAAGTGCATGTGGGAGATAAGCAGAGGATCCAGCTGGGGTGGGGATAAGGCCAGCCCTTTTCATTTCTTAGGCACGCCTTTTCACATTGTTATCCATGTGTGTAGCGCTGTACCATAATACATCCCTATGTGGAAATGACCCCTTAACATGGAGATGTCTCCTCTGAAAAACAGCCAAGGAAGATGATGGGAATACTTCAAGAAATGTTGCACTAAGACAACGCAATATTAACAACACACAGCATTTAAATACCTGACTTAAAATGCAGGGCAGAATGGTTCTCTCAGGAGGTTAATTTACAGTTTTTCTGTAACATATGTCAGTTTCACCTGATCAAAATAATCTGCAGTTTGTTGAACCTTAAATACCATTATGCTATCCGTAAGTAAGCATAACGGCTAATAACTGTCCCAATAACTGGTGAAGGCAACATCCTAACATGTTTTAGCTAAATAGCCTAAGATTTAAGATTTGAACAACCGAACGAACTGTAGTGCTTTATTCTCCTACTGCATGGAACATTCATGCATTAACAAGTACAATGAATTAGCTTTATGAATAGGTAAGTGTATGCAATAGAAATTTGGATTTTGTAATAGAAAATTTACCTTCTAACAGTGTGACTACTTATTATGAAAGCCATATACACATGTTAACTAATGGAAGACTACACAGATGTTTAGGCTATCTAGATGTAGTTTAAAAAGAAATTCAGGAAACTTAATAGTTCATGAACGACCATTAAAGAAATAGTCTGGGGCTGTATCCCTTTGATGCATACGGATCACACTCTGTAAATCTGTAAACACATACTCTGATACGTAAAAAAAAAGTCTTCCTGTGACCAGAAAAGCAGACTAGTAGAGGCCCTGGGTATTCCACCAGGCCTCCTCTAAAGATACGATAATATGGCTAAATACTCTGATTATAAAAATGAGAAGTGCTGAGAAAATAAGTTCCAGACGGGGACTTTTATGGATGATCTTGGCTGACAAATGTTTTTTGGAAATTGTTTTATTTTAAAATTACCTTCCCAACAAACCATGAAACACTTGGATGTTACTTTATGGTTTTTCATTGAAAACATACTACATTGTAAATGGAATTTCAAAGTCAGACATAGAATTGATGAAGATCTAAGGACAATATTATGTAAGGACAATATTAAAAATGGATAGAAAAAGCTTCGTCTGGTGAGGTTAATTTAAAGGACGCACAGCCATGTCACGGTGGACGGATAAAAGGCGATAGCCTTGTGCTCTTATTCGACTAAGGCGTCTACCAAACCTTAGGGTTACACAGGCGCCAACCCCCGCCTGGAAAGGGACAGTTTTCTATATTACACCCAAATTTACTTTAAATAACTGAAGCCCAAGGCAACAGCTGTTTAAAAGAACTTGTCAAACAGCTACATAATTTAGTAAATTAAAATACAACTAAGACAGTGATAATTGAATGTCTCAAAAATATACAACTGGGGAAAATAACCACTGTGCACAATTTGGAGGTTGTTAAAGTGACCACTTAGGAGGTTGAACAGTGCAAGACATGCTTTTCCAGTTACAAGCTCAAAACAGGAGTGCAAACAAAATTAAAGCTTTTGTTTAAAGTTGTAGGATAAGGAAAGCTTGAAACTAATATTAAAAAGCTTCCCTCAAGGTCATCCCCCAGAAATGAAATAATCAAAACGCTTTTTCATGGTACAATTTTCCTCAATGAACTTTGCTGCAATGGCAAAACTGCATCCCGCAAGTCGAGTCCCCTACTCACTCACCACATCTGATCAACTGAGCACATGGTGGTGAGCAAAGAGGAGTACTAACTCCCAGAGGTCCAATATTGATAGAAAGAGCCTTGGAATTTGGGGTTCTGCCTTAGCCAGTGTACCTGAACCCTACAGAGAACAGATAAAGCAATAGGCTTTAATAGTCTCTTGTTTCTATAAAACTGGAGGACAAATGGATGAAAAACTCCCCCTCTAGAGGCAAGCTGTTGCGGTGGAAGATGTTAAGCGCTTAAACTAAGACGCCGCTCTAAAAAGTGGAGAAGTATAGAGGTTCAAGATCAATACCAGTGCAAGAGCTTTTTAAGTGAGTTGATTAGGCAATGCATGCATCCATCCATGCAAATGTAGGACATGGCCCCCAAAGAGAATTGAAAACATGTATAACAGCTGGGTAAGTTTCTTGCCAGTAGTTTATAAAAATATATAGTCAATACTGTAGAGCCTCCTTCTACAGTCAATACTATGGAAGTCCATTTTAGTTACCCATTACTTCAATACCAAAAAGCATTAACTACTTTTCAGACATTCCAGACAAAGGTCACTTATAACAAAAAGATGACTTAAAAAAAAAAAAAAAAAGAACCAAGATAGTGTCCATTTAAAAAGTAGGTCTTTTCTTTCAAGTGAACAGGACATTTTCTGTATTAAACTTAACTTCTGTTTAGTCTGTTAAGACTGGGTTTAAGATCCTTATGTATGTGCATATATGCAGAAACAAATTAACTTACTTTCAACATTATCTGCACAGAAAAAAGTTAACTCCTCAAAACATGATAGAACAGGTCTGGTTAGTACAAATCTATTGCAAAGTAAAAAGATTCTGTGCATCAGTTCAATCAGGAGAAGCGGGAAAAGAATGTCCCAACCATAAGAGTTCAAGTTGTGTTCTGAAAGCCTAGAAGCTTAAGGGACACCGTGTTGCTCACAGTATCCTGATATGCATAACTGCTTAAGCTACTAAGCTGCGTCTTCCTCTGGAACTAGAACCACATTCCAATTTACTTTCTATTCCGAAGACGTTTAGATTTCCTAAGAGAGTCTATGGCTTCTGTGGCCTTTTTTCGTTTCCGAGGAGACTCCTCATTCTGCCCAGACCCTGAGGAATTTCCTACAGCACTTTCCATTACTTCTCGTAGTTTGCGTTCTAGCTCTGCCAACCGTGCATTTTGTTCACCTATGATCTGGGTCTGCTCTAGCAGTTTCTGGTCCTGGTCTTGAAGCTGTTTTTGCTGTTCTTGCACTTTGGTGCGAAGCTCAGAAATTTCACGCCTGAGAACAGTCACGCCAGCACCATTTGTTTTAACCTGCTGCTGGAGTTTGGTAACCTCTTGTCTTGAAGGGTTTTGCTTGGAGAAGAGCTGCATTGTTGTTAGGGCTGCAGATGGTCCTGGAACTGTGGAGGAATAATTTAAAAGGGTCAGTCACTTAAAATGTTTCTCTACCAGTCTTACACTTATTTAAAAATGGAATACCCTTATTATGTCACTTCTGAGAATTTCTTCTTCTTTGCAATCCAGTTGGTCAATTGGGTTAATCATCATAATTTAACATATTATTTTAACTATAAATGAGTTTAAATTCTGATTCTCCTGCTCACGTGGCAGTATATAGACTGCCAGGAAATGAAGAAAGGCATTTAATGGCATAAACTTGAGTTTAAAATACTGTAAAATATTTTCAGAACCTAGTGACAAAATACAAGCAGTAAAATTAGAAAATAATAATTTTTTTTTTATTTTTTTGAGATGGAGTCTCGCTCTGTCGCCCAGGCTGGAGTGCAGTGGCACGATCTCGGCTCACTGCAAGCTCCTCCTCCCAGGTACACGCCCTTCTCCTGCCTCAGCCTCCGGAGTAGCTGGGACTACAGGTGCCCGCCACCACACCCGGCTAATTTCTTTTTGTATTTTTTGTAGAGATGGGGTTTCACCGTGTTAGCCAGGATGGTTTGGATCTCCTGACCTCGTGATCCAATCGCCTCAGCCTCCCAAAGTGCTGGGATTACAGATGCATTGAAGCACTGTGCCCGGCCAGAAAATAATTATTTTCTATCTAATTCACATAACAAACACACTTTCAAGTTAGAAGTACAGACCTACAGGTTGCACGTTTCTAATCCAGAAATCTGAAATCCAAAATCTGAAACTTCTTGAGCACCAACATGATGATCAAGGAAATGGCTCATTGGAGCATTTTGGATTGTGGATATGTGGATAAGAGACTGTGCAGCCAGTACATGTAATGCAAATATTCCAAACTCTGAAAAAAAGCTGAAATCTGAAACACTTCTGGTCCTAAGAAATTTGGATAAGGGATACTCAACCTGTATCGTGTTCTTAAGTTCACTCTGAACTTAAGTTATTTGCAAAGGCTTCAACTTTAGCCAAATGATAGGACTCCATTAAAGAGTGGGTTACATCATACATTATGATCACAAAGAATTCCTGGCATGGTGTAGGAGGGCCTTGGACCTACTCTTTCAGGAATAATTAGAATGTAACACAAGCACAAAAATAACTATTTTAAACAAAGAACCTACTTTCTTTTAACCTTATCTACTGAAGGTTTTCTAAAAGGACCAGATGGGTCCATTCATACCCTAAACACATCATGTTAATCTTCTCCTTGCGCATTTAAATAACTGTATTTCCTTTATGGATGCATTCTTCTTTCCCTCTCTGCTTATCCATATCCAACTTCTACTTATTCACCAAGGCTTAAATCAATCCTTACCTCCTGTGATGTTTCCATCAGACCAGCCAGCACTGATCTACCTTAAAATTGTTTCTCCGCTCTCATTTGACATTTAATTGGACATTGCATTACTTGTTTTGCCTATGATAATTTAACTTCAAGTCTGAGTATATCTTACCTTTTGAAATAGTAAGATCCTTGAGAGCAGACACCACGTATTACACTTCCTTTTAGTCTCCACAGGACACAGTACAGTGCTGTGCGCATAATAGGTACTCAATAAATAACAGATATATTAATGCTGAGATGTGTAGGCTTTATTACTCAATTACAGAGAGCCACTTGGTTGCCTCACTGAATACTACAGGGAGCTAACTAATCTGAACAAAATAAAAAGTTCTACTAAATTCTTTCCTAATTAAAGTACTTGCCAGAGTTGGGGATATTAAATAATTAAGTCTTTCAGTAGATAAAGGCACAAATCTCTAGGAGCCAATATACTTTTGCAAAAACAGTTATTTAGCACAGATGAAGTGATACTGTTCAAAATAGCCTTATGAACCCTGTCCTTCAAAGTAGCAGCCGGGCGTGGTGGCTCATGCCTGTAATCCCAGCACTTTGGGAGGCCAAGGCGGGCAGATCACGAGGTCAGGAGTTCCAGACCAACAACCTAAACAACATGGTGAAACCCCATTTCTACTAAAAAATACAAAAATTAGCCGGGCGTGGTGGTGTGCACCTGTAATCCCAGCTACTCAGGAGGCTGAGGCAGGAGAATTGCTTGAACCTGGGAGGTGGAGGTTGCAGTGAGCAGAGATCACGCCATTGCACTCCAGCCTGGGTGACAGAGTGAGACTCCATCTCAAAATAAATAAATAAATAAAAAAAAATAAAGTAGCAGCCAGACACTTTGGGGGCTGAAATAATTCACCAAATATTTCCCTGAAGAGTTTTTTTTTTTTTTTTTTTTGAGACGGAGTCTCGCTCTGTCACCCAGGCTGGAGTGCAGTGGCCGGATCTCAGCTCACTGCAAGCTCCGCCTCCCGGGTTCACGCCATTCTCCTGCCTCAGCCTCCCGAGTAGCTGGGACTACAGGCGCCTGCCACCTCGCCCGGCTAAGTTTTTGTATTTTTAGTAGAGACGGGGTTTCACTGTGTTAGCCAGGATGGTCTCGATCTCCTGACCTCGTGATCCGCCCGTCTCGGCCTCCCAAAGTGCTGGGATTACAGGCTTGAGCCACCTCACCCGGCCTTCCCTGAAGAGTTTTTGGCATTTTATCTGGTATATTTGTTTTATAAAAAAATGAATATTAATTCATCAGAAACATAAAAAAAAGTCCTCAAATTACAATGGTTCAAGTTAATGATTTTTTTTTTTTTTTTGAGACAGAGTCTCACTCTGTTGCCCAGGCTGGAGTGCAATGCCATGATCTTGGCTCACTACAACCTCCGCCTCTTGGGTTCAAGCGATTCGCATGCCTCAGCCTCCCTAGTAGCTGGGACTACAGGCGTGCGCCACCACACCTGGCTAATTTTTTGGTATTTTTTTAGTAGAGACAGGGTTTTACCATGTTGGCCAGGTTGGTCTCGAACTCCTGACCTCAGGTGATCTGCCTGCCTTGGCCTCCCAAAGTGCTGGGATTACAGGTGTGAGCCACCGTGCCCAGCCAACCTAATGATTTTTTGACTTTACGATGGTATGGAAGTGATAGACATTCAGTAGAAACTGTACCTCAGGTATCCACAGAACCATTCTGCTTTTCACTTTCAGTATAATAGAAAATGAATTCAGTAAATTACACAAGGATGCTTTATCATAAAATATGCTTTGCTAGATAATTTTGCCCAACTGTAAGCTAATGTAAGTGTTCTGAGCATGTTTAAGGTAGGTTAGGCTAAGCTATGATGTTTGGTAGGCTCGTGTATTAAGTGCATTTTTTGACTTACAATATTTTCTACTTATGACGGGTTTATCAGGATGTAATCCCATTGTAAATTAAGGAGTATCTGTACGTAACTTTTCACTTGTAATTCTATTACTTTTTTTTTTTTTTTTTTTTGGAGACGGGGTCTCACACCTCAGCTTCCTGAGTAGCTGGGGCCACAGGCATGCGCCACTAACACCCGGCTATTTTTAAAATTATTTGTAGAGATGGGGGTTTCCCTATGTTTCCCGGGCTGGTCTTGAACTCCTAGGCTGAAGCAATCTTTCCGCCTCAGTCTCCCAAAGTGCTGGGACCACAGGCGTGGGCCACTGTGCCTGGTCCAGCAATCCTGTTTCTTTTTTTTTTTTTGAGATAAGAGTTCTGCTATTGTTGCCCAGGCTGGAGTGCAATGGCGTGAATCTGGCTCACTACAACCTCTGCCTCCCCGGTTCAAGTGATTCTTCTGCCTCAGCTTCCAGAGTAGCTGGGATTACAGGTGTGCGCCTCCATGCCCAGCAAATTTTTGTATTTTTAGTAGATACAGGGTGGTCTCGAACTACTGACCTCAGTCAGGTGATCCACCCACCTTGGCCTCTCAAAGTGCTGGGATTACAAGTGTGTCCCACCGTGCCTGGCCGGGCCCAGCTATTCTACTTCTAATATGTTTATTGTAAGTCAATATGGATATGTGCAAAGATTTAGTCACAAGACTGCTCAGATTGTTCTTGAGTAAGCACTGAAAAGCTAGAAACAAGAAATGTGCCTAACTAGTGGATCAGTTGTATAAGTTATGGTTGATAATCCAATCTCATTAAAAATGATGCTGCCAATAAACAATGACTAACACAGAAAAGTTCAAGACACTTGATTAAGTGGAAAAAAACCAGAAATAAGTTACAAAATTATGTACAAACATGATTATAAAGTAGAGGTACCTGGAGGAGAGCCCATGAGTCTTCCAGAAACATCTGATCCTGGTAATTTCCTCTTTAAAATTGGAACAATCTTTTCATCAAAGTACTCCATTGCCATAGAGGATATATCCCTTAATTCTTGAAGTACTTCATGAGCTCGCTGAGGGGCTCTGGTAGAATTGACGTATCTCAACACGCGATAAATCTCATCAATCACCTTAAAATAATGAATTCTCATTAGCATTTTAGATTTTTCTTTTTTAATAAAGAAAACAGCTAAACAGGCAGAGAAGTAACTGCTTGTTCTGCAATTCCAGTAAAGACCTGTAGGGTGATTTAAGTGATGTACTGGCCACTGAAGAATATTGCTATTTACAACACATGGCTTTTGGGCTTGTTACAGTACATTTTTTTTTAGATGGAGTTTCGCTCGTTGCCCAAGCTGGAGTGCAGTGGTGCAATCTCAGCTCATTGCAACCTCTGCCTCTGGGGTTCAAGCAATTCTCTGCCTCAGTCTCCTGAGTAGCTGGAATAACAGGTGCCTGCCATCACGTGTGGCTAATTTTTTGTATTTTTAGTAGAGACGGGTTTCATGTTGTCCAGGTTGGTCTCAAACTCCTGACCTCAGAATCCACCCGCCTTGGCCTCCCAAAGTGCAGGGATTAGAGGCGTGACCCACTGCACCCGGCCTGTTACAATACTTTATACTTGCTTTTATTAAACACCGTTTATGTATCAGGTACTGTGTTGGGGCTGAGGAATCAGGATGCATCAAATAAAGCTCCTAACCCTGAAGGAAATCACAGTGTAACTGGGGAGATATGTGTGTACATAAGTGATACAAACAGATATACAAATTTCTATAGACACTAGAGGACTAAACTAAGAAATTAAATCCTGTATGGGAGCTAGGGTAGGGTTGGAGATTGCCCAAACCTCTATTTTATTAATCCTCCAAACTTGAATCTGTTCCCCTAAGCTGCAGGGACTCAGTGTGATTTCTCCGCTCTTTTTAATACTGCCCCCATGTGCTCTATCCCTTTAAGTTTTGTTTCTCTGAGGCTTGTTATGGATTGGAATGCAGTCTTGTCACTTCTGTCATCACCAAAAGGTAGCAGAAGATCCTTTTTTGTTTTAATGATAATTGTAATGGAGAGAATACCTAACTCTCTTGCTGAAATGGTTAAGTGAACCTTCCTCAGGCATTTATGCGTGTAGCTTTCATCCCCGTGAATTTATAGGTTATCCTTAATTCTTCCCGTGGCTTCAGTATAGACCTAAAGATAAAATTCCTTTTTTTCTTTTTTTTTTTTTAAGATGAAGTCTCACTGTGTTGTCCAGGCTAGAGTGCAATGGCACAATCCTGGCTCACTGTCACCTCCAATTACAGGGTTCAAGTGATTTTCCTGTCTCAGCCTTCCAAGTAGCTAGGATTACAGGCATGCGCCACCACACCTGGCTAATTTTATATTTTTAGTAGAGATGGGGTTTCACCATGTTGGCCAGGCTGGTCTCAAACTCCTGACTTCAGGTGATCCACCCTCCTTGGCCTCCCAAAGTGCTGGGATTACAGGTGTGAGCCACCATGCCCGACCTAAAATTCCTATTTCTAAAGACCCCAATCTGGATGACATCTATGGGCCCTTACCTCACAAGAACTGAGGGTTAATCAACCAAACCATTCTATCACCAAAATCTCAAACAACCTGGCATCCCACATATTCCTCCCACTGCATTTATCTGGCTTGTTCCCAACTCAGATCAATCTTATAATCCACCTTCCCTTCTCCTTTATTTAGGCTGCTGAGCACAGCCAGAGAAACAATCTTGCAGAATAGTATCAGGACAAATTCATAGCCCTTCACATTTTCTAGACTCTCAGCATAATATGATGATCGTTGTTAGTGGAGCATGATGTTTGCTTAATAAATGTCAGCAAAATCTAACCTTAGGATGTGTCCTTATCATAAGCCTGAGAAGACATCACAGAAGAGGTCAGGTTTGTGGGTCTGGAGAACTGAACAGGAAATGGCTTGGGCTGAGGTGGTGTCCATAGGCAGATGCAATGGGAGGTGAGATGTGCTGATTTTGAATTACATGGGACATGTAGGTGATATTTGCTAGCAGGTGGCTTGAGATACAGGTTGGGAGTTCAGAATTTTGGATGATGGCTGATTGCCAAGGGAGAAAATACATTTATTTCTGGCAATATTATATTATGAACTCACTTTAGAAGATAACACTTTTCCCCAATAAAAACTTACTGAACTACTATGTTAAGAACTATTACAGGCCGGGCGCGGTGGCTCAAGCCTGTAATCCCAGCACTTTGGGAGGCCGAGACGGGCGGATCACGAGGTCAGGAGATAGAGACCATCCCGGCTAACACGGTGAAACCCCGTCTCTACTAAAAAAAAAAAAATACAAGAAACTAGCCGGGCGAGGTGGTGGGCGCCTGTAGTCCCAGCTACTCCGGAGGCCGAGGCAGGAGAATGGCATAAACCCGGGAGGCGGAGCTTGCAGTGAGCTGAGATCCGGCCACTGCACTCCAGCCCGGGTGACAGAGCGAGACTCCGTCTCAAAAAAAAAAGAAAAAAAAAAAAATCACATACATATATATATAAAAAAAGAAATGAAAAACAGAGTACTTTCCCTTGGACTTACAATTTAATTATGTAAGCCTATCATAACTTGTAAGATAAACATTATTCAAGTATTAATTGAGTTCTTACTACGTACTTGTCACTTTTCAAAGTACTGGAGTAAAAAACAGTAAATAAAGATGATAAGATTATCATTTCATTAAGCTAAAGTACACAAGAAAATAATTTAAAGGAGTGCCACATGGAAAAAAGAGGGTAATGTGATAGTTTCTACCAGGAAAGGCAGGAATAACATGAGACAGGTGGTTGGGAAAGGATTCTTTGCCATTTGTAAGGTAAGACTGAATGATGAGGAAGAACTGATCGATTGAAGATATGGGGAGAAAAGTGATTCAGGTAGAAATAGTAATGGCAGTGGCCCCAAGGTCAGTGTCAGCTTGGCTTGTTCAAGGAGTTCAAGGACTAGAAATAGACAAATTTTATACATACATGTATATATCCAAAGAGTAAATATTTGTGGAAGCTAGCTGATCAAGCTTTAAAAGTTATGTAATATATACATAATTAAGAGAGAGTTAATAAAATTAAAAATATAAGCCAAAGCAGAAAACCAGCATTTAAAGGGTCCTTCATACTGACCGATATTTATATACACTGCTAGGATATTAACTGACCCATAGTAGTTTTGTGTTTATCAAAGTTTTACATATGGGTTATATATAGGAAAAGCAGCACAGTACTCCATAATTTTTTGAGACAGAGTTTCGCTCTTGTTGCCCAGGCTGGAAATGACCCGTTATTGGCTCACTGTAACCTCCGCCTCCTGGGTTCAAGTGATTCTCCTGCCTCAGCCTCCCAAGTAGCTGGGATTACAGGTGCCCGCTACTGCACCCAGCTAATTTTTGTATTTTTAGTAGAGACGGGGTTTCACCATGTTGGCTAGGCTGGTCTCAAACTCCTGACCTCAGGTGATCTGCCTGCTTTGGCCTCCCAAAGGGCTGGGATTACAGGCGTAAGCCACTGCGCCTGGCCTTCCATAATTTTTAAATGTCCCCAAAGGCTAATATGTTGCATCTATAGATACAAACTGGACATCAGCCCTTTGAACTAAATCAAGTCCCCCACCGTTTTGCCCCAGGGCTTTTGTCCATTCAGATCCCGTTCCTGGAAAGCTGTCCCTGTGTATCTCCCTCACTTCAAATTCCTCAGTTATACACGAGGTCACAGTAACACTGTACTTTCTCAGAGGTCTTTTCTGAACCCTCCTCCAGTTTCAATCATGTTAACATCTTCATTCAACCCTTTATTCCCCTTCAGAATACACATTACAATTTGTAAGTACATCTTTTTGTTAATTTGTTTTCCCTAAAATGTAGTAACTCTACGACAGAAGCGATCATACCATGTTTCACTGTCAGATCCCCAGAGCCTAGCAGTGTCTGGCACATGGCAGATACTCAATAAACAAAGGATAAAGGTAGTTAAGCATATTAATTGTTTAATATTAATTGATACAACTAAACGAAACTGTTTAAGGGCAAATGACAGGATTAAATTCAACACAAGAATTTGTTTTTTGGCCAGGCATGGTGGCTCATACCTACGGAGCCAGCACTTTGGGAGGCCGAGGTGGGAAGACTGACTGGGGACAGGAGTTTGAGACCAGCCTGGGCAACACTGCGAGTTGTCTCTACAAAAAATTAAAAAATTAGGTGTGCACAGTGGCACATGCCTATAGTCCCATGAGCTGTGATTACCCCAGGTGATGGGGCTAGACTATCTCAAAAAAAAAAAAAAAAAAAAATTACATGGTTTTTCAGAAGTCAGATGATTATGTTTTGAACACAAAGGTCATAGTAAACAAGATTTCTATTGAGAGGGACTTGTAAAAATACATAATACTTAAAATGGTACTTATATGTTTAATAAAATATGCACGGCCTTATTAATACACCTCTAGATATTTTACGTATATAAATACTGGTAGACAAAAGAATATAGTGTACTTGAGCCAGAATAGGACTGTTGTAATGGTATAGGCATGAATAAGACACAGATCCTATCCAGTGAAAGATGACTCTATGAAAGACCCATAAACAGCAAAGCAAAACTCAGACTGTAGTAAGTTCAATGTATAAGCAAAGTGCTGTGTGAAAACAGAGTAGAGATTAAGATCTGCTTGAGAGAACTGGGTAGGTCTAATGAAGGACATGGTAATGAGGAATAAGTAAAATTTCAACAGGTAAAGGAAGTCAGAGCAGGAGGAAGGTACACCTGGCTAAACAAAGCGTGGAGTGGAGCATAGGGATGATGTGGATGGCTAGGTGATAGGATAGCAATTCAACAATTTTTTTTTTTTTGACTCGCTCTGTCACCCAGGCTGGAGTGCAGTGGCGTGATCTTGGCTCACTGCAAGCTCTGCCTCCCAGGTTCACGCCACTCTCCTGCTTCAGCTTCCTGAGTAGCTGGGACTACAGGCGCCCACCACCATGCCCAGCTAATTTTTTGTATTTTTTTTTAATAGAGACGGGGTTTCACCGTGTTAGCCAGGATAGTCTGGATCTCCTGACCTCGTGATCTGCCAGCCTTGGCCTCCCAAAGTGCTGGGATTACA